CTTTAGTGAGGGCAGTGCTCACTGCAGTTGGTGTGTGGGTAGGTTAGGGACAGGAACTCGCTGGAGAGAGAGTGTGCCTAGTGTGAAAGAGAGGTTCCAGAACAGGAGGGACAGCATGGAAATGGTCTTCAGAGCTGCTTGGAACCTACTACTAATTCATTGCTGCCTACTGCTTCTCAGCTGCTCCCTGCACCAGGTGCTGTCAGTCTCCGTGCATTGCTTTCTGGAAGTATTTTATAACCTTCTGTGGGTGTTGCTGCCAGTTCTGCACTGCTGCATAGATTCTGTTACTGTATATTGGAACATTTTTGACAATACATTTCCTGCAATTTTAACCATTGTGTGTGTCGTTCCTTCCATCCGGGGTGCCTACCACCTGCCCCCCCAGCCTCCATTTGGCGTAATTGACAGGATATGCCCCATTCAGCAGCTGTCATGGACGTCACCATGGCACCAATGGGAGCAGCCCTAGCTCTAGTGCCCAAATTTAATGAGTCTAGCATCTCCCTTTTGGAGTGAAGCTGGAGAGTGCTGACCAAGTGGTGGAACGAGTTGAAGTAGTGGTCACCCACAGCTCAGCCTTATCCTTGGTATCCATGGTCATGGGCATGAATGTTCTAAAGATCTGAACTTTGCCTCATCTGCTGGTGGAAGTGGAGCTGCTTGGCAATGGCAAACAAAGTTGCGGCTTAAAGGCAGTGTGGCTCAATGCAGGGCTATGAAGCTCAACAATTGGGGGGCAAAATGGCAGCTGGAATGAGTAGGTGTTGTCCGCATGCCACCGAGCAGGAGCTGCCTCTGGCTTCCCTCCAAGAAGTCGTTGCCCAAGAAGTTGTTGCCTTGCCTATCAGGGGCACAAGAAGCTATGGGGTGCCATAGTTATTGTAGAGCCCCACAGAAATCTTGAGATGGCGGGGGAGTAGCTGATAGCTTGTACCCTGTCCAAAGTTCACCGGGCCTGGCACTGGTCCACCTCGTCAACCTGGGGATGGCTCCTGTCTAGCTGCCAAACCACAGGATCCTCACAGATCTTTATGTCATCCCCAAACACTGCATCACGAGGTCCCAACCAGCAGTGGAAGCTATATGTGCCCAGCTGCAAGCCGCCATGACCCCCTTGGACATTGACAAGTATCATCATTTGTTGGACCAACTAGCATCAACTGCTGGTGAAACACTTACTAGCTTTCAAAATGGGTCCTGAAGATTATGGGTGCACTGAGGCCATAGACCAACCCCTCCAAATGCGTAGTACTCCTCTCATTTGGGAGAGATATCAGCACATACACCCGGCTCAAGAAGTCAAAGACTTGATGAACAGTATGTTGCATTTCAGATGTATTTCCACTGCCTGGAAAGCTTGGGTACTATGCACTGCTGCTCATAGACATGAATTAATGTGCGCGACTGTACTTATGTATATGTACAGATGTATAAAAAAATACAAAATTTTCTACTTTTGCATATGCCCGTACAGCTGCAAACAGCCATTTATGTTTAAAGCATTTGTACACAGCACCTGAACTAAATACACTGGAATTTACATTGTATGAGCTTAAGCATCTGCGAGAAGGAGGACTAAAACAAACCCTATTGGCTTCTGTAGATACAGGCACTATGGGGTAATTAATTCCTAAATTTGCTTTGGAAGCTCTTCAGTTTTACTTTTATTTTCTTTCTGTAGCTCCCCTTACCCTGCTAGCAATGCCTGAAAAACCTTCCAGGGTTCTAATCTCCAATGAGAGATGAGTGCTGAGACCTTTCTTCATCATTCACTGCTTCCATTGCGAATTTTGACAACGAATTGCTCCCCAGTGACTGCACCTACAGAGCTCAATGGGAACTTAGGTTAAAGCTTTTTACTAGCTTTTTAAGATTGTGTAAAATGCTTGCATGTCCATAAGATAAGGGGACCCTTGATTGGCTGTGTGTTGGTACCAAACTGACAAAGTCCCCGCCCCTCTTCTTTTTGGATAGGACAACTACATACCTGCTGGTAGATGAAACCCTTTTGCCATATTGTGTCAAACTCCTGGCTGTAGACCTGCTCAAGGCATCCCTAGCCATAGGCATTAATATTCCAGAATGAAGGAATGTCAACAAATGAAATACTGTACATTTTCCACACTTTACTGTAACTTCATAAAATTGGCCAGGACATCTAACATCACATTGAACAATATTATCACAAAATTAAAGTCTATGGACAGGGAACGAAAGGTGCACAATTTACAAAGCAATGTAGATATTATCTATCTAGATTAGAAGCAGTCTGCTCTCTACTACGCATACAAAACAGGTATGATAAGTAAGGTAAGTTAGGTTGATCCACTGAAAATTCCAGTACAAATAATTAGGTCATTCTAACATGATCTGCGTAATCATTTCTTCTTTTCTCTACTTTAAACAGCTACATGGGTTGGTGGTGCCTATATTAATGGAACAGCGAGATCGTCTATCTTCCTACAAGAGGACTTGCCTGGGTTCATGCTCCACTGGGCTTTGCGGCAACATTTATCATTGGTGAGCAGTGTTTTTATATTTCGCGTTATTTTCTCCTTAGCTAAGATATACAGTATGTCTAGCATCGTGTTTTTTTAGAATCAAATCTACCCAGCTCCATTCTTGACTTCCTAATTACTTATGAGCTAAAATGCTTACCCATGTGGCTACTAAACTCTTTCCAATGGTGGCATTGAAAAACCTTGGTGCAGAAATCTTAGAAAATGCAGCCCACGCCTGCACAGTAACCATACCTAAGATCTCTCCAGATCCCTCCCAGAGTTTGTCTGCCAATTCTTTAGGCGGCCTGGATTTTAATCCAACTCAGCTGTGTTTAGGCTGATAGGAGTAATACCAGCATCACCACTCTCTATGGCTACTGTAACGGGGTTTGCTCGGCAACGGGTGTGTGTGTGACCCCCTGGATGAGTTCACAACACAACACAAAAACGGGCACAGCAAACAGAAGTTTAGGTGAGAAAACAAAGGTGTGGTTTATTTACAATATTTGCAAGAGGAAAAACATTAAAACAATAAGAAACATGAACAAAAATCCTTGCCACCTTGGCCACTTACTATACACACAGCTTCCCTCGCTATCAGCTAGGTGCAACCTTGTGCTACACCCAGTCCCTCTCTCCCTGTTATTTAGAGGTTGGCCACACAGGCGTTTGTCACATCGCACAGACAGATATGATGTTCCCCAGTCTACTCAGGCACAGAACTCCCTATGCAGGCTGGGAAGTTTTATAAAGGCACTAATGAGCCCACTACCTTCAGCTGGGCTCATTACCTCACTGCTGATGGGCCCAGCACTTCCCCTAGTGGAACAAATCCACATAGAGCCTGAATCTAGGACAAATGTACCTGCCATCCTGGACACAACCAGGTGAATTTACCTGCCTACTGTCACACTACATACGTCATGTGTTTTTAAGAACAGACTCCATTTACTGCAGCAGCATTTGGTTCTTTACACTGTCCTGGTAAGTATAGACTGTCGGTGTCTCTCTGCTGCACCCCAGAAAGATAAGGAAAGTGGGTAGGTTGGTGGGCTAGAAAGAACTCCAATTATTCTTTTATTTTCACCATTTATGTCACTGTGGCACATTTGTTGCCCACATATTGTCACAATTACCCATTTTCTGCCTGTCTTTTATCACAATTGCCCATTCATTGCCCTCACTTTGTCATTGATGCCTACCTGTTGCCCACATATTGTATCGTCACAATTTCCTGTTTGTTGCCCACATATTGTCAAGATTTCCCATTTGTTGTACTATGTTACTATGAAGACAAGGGCAAGATTTATGCACTGATGCTGTAAACACTGCAGAAGGCAACATAAAATGGTAGTAGTAGACACCTGATTGAGGTTGGTTGAGTGGCTAAGGCTGGCCATACATTATACAATTATCTTCCAATTTAATTTTCTGCCCAATTTCCTTTAGATTTACCTTTAACTGTGTAGTGCAAGGGCCTGCCTAATTGGATACAACTGAAAGTGTTGTTTAGGTTTGTCCTCCTATTATTTGGTTTTTGGTAAATCTAAACCAAAAATCTCCAGATAATTGTATAATGTATGGCCAGCCTAAGAAGGGTGGGACTGTGCAGTTTTAATTCTAAAGTAAATTTCTGCTTTAACCACTTAAATACTTCTTCATTATTAGGCCATTCTTCAGTTTTCAGTGCTGTGATACTTTGACTGAAAATTACCTGGTCATGCAACACTGTACTAAAATCATTAATATTAGTATACAGGATTTATATAGCGCCAAAAGTTTTGGCAGCGCTTTACAAAATGAAGGTAGACAGGGGCGGACTGACCATTCGAGCACTCAGGCACTGCTCGAGGACCCGGGGTCAGTAGGGGGCCCCTTGAGATGCCCCTGGTACCTTTCATTGGCTTTTTCATAGGCTTTTTTGGGTGTGAGCGAGGACACAGGGGCCCCATGATCCCTTATTGCCCAGGGGCCCTTTGAGTTGTCAGTCCACCCCTGAGGTAGACATTACAGTTACAATACAATTTGGTACAAGAGGAATCAGATGAAATTTATATTTTTTTTTAAAACAGAATTTTCATTTGTTGGCATCTTAGATTGTAAGCTCTAATGAGCAGGGCCCTCTGTTTCCTCTTGTACCAAATTGTATTGTAACTGTAATGTCTGCCTTCATTCTGTAAAGTGCTGCGCAAACTGTTGGCGCTATATAAATCCTGTATAATAATAATAATAATAATTTAGTAAGCGTCCGGCAAGGAAGATGAGGGTTACTATACAGACCACAGAGACAGTGTGTAGACCAGATGTGTAGGCAGAAGTGTATTTAGGTTTTGAGCTGCCCTAGGCAACACAAAATTCACACCCCCCACCCCGAGAGAGTCCTTCTCTCTTCCACTACCATTGCCCCCATACCCCAGACACTCCCCTCCCAGCAAGAGAGAGAAAGACACTGACATTCACAGCTCTGGACATCCCCAGAGCAGGGGTGGACTGACCATTTGGAAACTCGGGCACTGCCCGAGGGCCCGGGGTCAGTAGGGGGCCCCATGAGATGCCCCTGGTACCTTTTTCATAGGCTTTTTTGAGTTTGAGCAAGGCACAGGGGCCCCATGATCCCCTATTGCCCGGGGGCCCCATGAGTTGTCAGTCTGGCCCTGCCCCAGAGCCTGCAGCCTCTCTCAGATCCCACCCGGTCCCCAAGCCGCATGTGTCCCTTCTTCCGTACCTTCTTCCTGGGGGGCGTTGCTGCCTCCCTGAAAAATGCTGCCCTAGCAAATGCCTTGTTTGCCTTGTGGTAAATACACCCCTGTGTGTAGGAGATGAGGGGGGTTAGAGGGCTAAACTTTATCTGAATATGCTACTGCTGTGATCTCTACACTGCTCAGGAACTAATGAATGAGTCTAACAACAAGCAAGGGGAGGGCTCTCAGTTGTAAACACACACTGTTTACACCTAACACCACTACAATTGGTCTTTCTAAGAACAATAACAGTGGCCACAACATACAGAGACACTGGGATCGGCTCTGTACACATTGCATTGCATGCAGTGATGGCTTTGTTCACCAACATTAACAGGTGAAATGGCCATCCAATGGTGCTTTATAAAGCACCATTTATAAACAGCACTGGGTAAATAACTGTCCACCACTTTGTTGTTTTTAAATATACAACTGATAGGATCAGTTTCTGTCTGTAGCCCAACCTGTCCTCACTTATCTCTACCACTGGATCCAGGAGAAATAAAGCTCCAGACACTAAAGTGTAAAAGCTGTATCTCTGAAAGTTTAATACACAACAAGAAATGTTATACAGAAACTCAACAGACGTTTCCAGTCAGGATAACCAATGAAACACTATACTCTCATCGATATAGATATGTGAAGAACAGAAACTACAAATGGCTGAGGGGTACCATATCAGCTGAATCCGTTTACACAGAAATGAGAAGACAGTTAAGAAATGAAACTAAGAATCAAAATGAATTGCTTACATATCCAGAAATGGAGGCACTATACAAAATGGAGCCAGTATAAAGATATATCTCCTTACAACAACAATATAAAGGGGTTAGGGACAGTGGGAGGAGCAATTCAAATAATTCCTTTATGCTATGTATTGAAAAAACTTGCACCTAATTGTGTCAAGGTTTATGCCCTTTTTCACCGCAAGATATGGACATTATACTATGGACCTGGGTACATTGAGTCAAAATAACCCATCAAATTTAGGGTGCCAAAAAGGATCTAAAACATTCTATAATGCTGTAAGGTGCAGCATTGTTGTATGATGCTAAGTATTAGCATCATATGGTAACACTGTATAATGCTTATGGTTCCTTTTAGTCTCCTTTATCATTAGTTAAAACAGTAATAAACCCAAAAAACAAAAATCTATTGTATTGCAACTTACCAATTTCTAGACATGGTGACTGTATTAGTTTTCTTTTTTTTTTTTATAGTTTTTTTCCCCAATATATTTACCTGGTAATCCTGCCAGTAAGTCTGTGTTTTTTCCAGCTTCCTTTAACAGATCAACCTGTCCATCAAAAGTGGCAGTCGGAGGGTTGAAACAAACCATTTAGCACTGACAGGGGTGCTTACAATGATCAGCATTAATTTATGTAAAACCTCTATTCCAAAGGAAAAAAGCTGTTTTCTGTAACTGCTTGAAAAGTGATAGCTGAAGTTTGGCTTCAATTTGTGAGACAAGTCCAGTGAAATCTCCCCAGACTTACAATGCTGCTCTCCAAGGGTGTCTTTGTTGCTCCTTCATCCAGAGTGGAGACTGGGATTATTTACTAAAAGTGGAGAGAGCAGAATCTGGTGCAGCTCTGCATAGAAAACAATCAGCTTCCAGATTTTATTGTCAAATTTTAATTGAACAAGCTGAAATTAGGACCTGATTGGCTACCATGCACAGCTGCACCAGATTCTGAGTGCTCCAGTTTTAGAAAATCTTCCCAGTAAGTCAGGAAGTGTGTTACTGGCCAGATCACTAAGTAAATAAAAAGAAAAAAAAACTAAAAAGGAAAACTAATACAGCCACCATATTTAAAGATTTGGTAAGTTGCAATATTTGACATTTTTTGGTTTTGGGTTTAATACCACTTTAGCTAGTTATTTTGTGTAAAAGTTCAAATAAGTTTGAATTGCCTACATTTGCGATGAGTTCCATTTAAGCACTCTTTCATACTTATGTTCAATATTCCAGCTTCAGAGGGTGCTTGTTATAAAGAGACGTACACCAGGAGGTTGTCGATAAACATCTCTGATAATAGAAAGACGTGATAGGTTACAGAGTCAAGATCCTAGATTCTGTTCCACTTACATTGGAAAATCTTTTATCACATTGATGTAGCAGCAGCAGAATTAATTTGTTTTGTTTCCTTGTACTGTACATGATCTAAATTGATTTTTCTCTAAAGTAGAATTTGGCGGGTTGCCAGGACAACTGCTACTTCATTCTGTACAAATGGTTCAATTCTCCAGATCGTTAACTCTTTTAACATCAGAATGGCACATGAAACAATATTTCCTCCACAGTACAGAGAAATAAAAGAAACACATAAATACAAAATTGGTTTCTATAAAGTGCTTTATTGAAGTTTTTGTTCCTGTTAAAGACATTGCAGTGCACACTTCCCATTCCGGTGACTGCCAAGATAGTGAGAGAAGGTATCGCCAGTCTGAAACCAAAAACATACAGAAGTTCTAACCCTTCTCTACTCCATTCTACTCACTGAATGTAAAGTCCTTTCCTTTTCCTTCCCTTCCTCTTCCCTTTTCCTTTCCCCTCCCTTCCCTGTCTTTCACTTTCCCTTCCCTTTCCTTTCCCTTCCTTTCTCTTCCCTTCCCTTTCCCTTTCCCTTCCCTTTCATTTCCTTTCCTTCCTGTCCCTTCCCTGTCTTTCACTTTCCTTTTCTTCCCTTTTCCTTCCCTGCCTTTCCTTTTCCCTTCCTTTCCCTTTTCCTTCAATTTTTTCTTCCATTTTCTGCTTCCCTTTCCTTTCCTTTCCTTTCCTTCCCTTTTCTCTTCCCTTCCCTGCCCTTTCCTTTCCTTTCCCTGTCCCTTCCCTGTCTTTCACTTTCCTTTTCTTCACTTTTCCTTTCCTGTCTTTCCTTTTCCCTTCCTTTCCCTTTTCCTTCAATTTTCCCTTCCATTTTCTGCTTCCCTTTTCCTTTCTTCAAACCATGTTTTTATGGAGTTGGCTTTGAACAATAGGGTACAGTCTAGACGTGCATTTCATTACAATTTGTTTTTTACATGAAAATCTCATTTTGGGAGATTTGGATGTATACAGAATAGACATAGTAATGAATGTCAACGAATCCGAAAAAAAGTTGTAACTAAATTAATGAATGCATAAGTTTCAATCAGATGCCATCACGTGATGCGATAGTAGTGTGCGCCCATGGGGAGAATAATTCAATTTTCAAATTAATTCGATATTTTGGACTCAGATAATGAATGGATCTAAATTTCGCTCCATTCGTTAACTTGGATGCACATGATGCCAGTCGGTATTGTCCAATCAGGTCATGCCATTTCTCTTAGTGGGTTGGACCAGCGTACAAAAATATCAAATTTTTTCCAATCCAAATTCATCTAATTCCATAATATATTAAATATATAGTAATCTTCTGGAAAAACTGCTGCATTTTTCTAATCCGCCCGGACTAACCAACATACAAAACAAATGCCGAAAATAGGAAATTAATTCCGAAAAACGAATCAGTTCAACAATATGATGAAACAAAATTCTTCAATGAACAAATGCATCTGAAATTAAATGAAAATTTCCGGCGTGCACATGTCTAGTACAGTCATGTTGGAACAAAAAAAGGGTCTTCACCAAGCTGTTACCACACCTGAACTCAATAATTTTAGCCTTCTTATACTTTTTACCATATAGTGTATACAGTTGCCTTGTTTGAATACAGAATATTATGATGTGTTTATTATACATTTATTTCTACAGACAATATAATAAATATGTTTCTAATTTCCAGGTGCTCTCTTCTTTGTTAAGCCAATGAGGTCTAAAAATTATGTGACAATGATGGACCCTCTCCAAGAAACATTTGGGGACGCAATGGGGAGTATCCTGTTTATCCCACCATTGCTTGGTGACATTTTCTGGTTTGCATCTATCCTGGCCTCTCTAGGTAGGTATTTCTGGGCAATCCAGGAATGGTTGTAAACTCTGTTCTGGTAAAGCAGCAAGTTCTAGCACCTGAAACTTTGGATGAGGGAAGATTGGTTTTGACAAAGGGTATCCCAACATAGGAGAGGTAAGTATGCAAACAAGTGGTTAGGTTACCTAAAGGTGGGGTAATGTTACAGTTATGGGGAGGCATAATGTTAGTGCTGAAGGGAGGGTTGTTGATAGGGTTATTGGAGTAATCAGTACAGGGGCGGACTGACAACTCATGGGGCCCCCGGGCAATAGTGGAACATGGGGCCCCTGTGTCCTTGCCCAAACTCAAAAAAGCCAATGAAAAAGGTACAAGGGGCATCTCATGGGGCCCCCTACTGACCCAGGGCCCTCAGGCAGTGCCCGAGTTTCCAAATGGTCAGTCCGCCCCTGAATCAGTATGATGTTTACAGGATGGGTTATTGTTAGGACTACAGGGTAGATTATTGTTAGAGTTTCATTGTAGGATAGTGTGAGGGTTACATGGAGGCAGGGCTCTTTTTTAGCTGGAACGTGGGGGAGCGTGGTCCCCGGCACCTCCAGCAATTAATGTATATAATCGCAAGGGGTGCAGGAGGGTCTATGCCAGGTGGTCTATTGTTGCTGGGGAAGTCTATTGCTGCTGGCCAATCTATTGTTGCTGGGGGGTGTCTTATGTTGCTGGGGGGTCAGTCATTGCTGGTAGGGATCTTCTGTTGAAGGAGGGGGTCTATTGTTACTGGCTGTTGGGGGATCTATTGATTCCGGCTGTTGGGAGTCTATTGTTCCTGGGGTCGATCTGTTGTTGTTGGCTTCAGGGGATCTATTTTACTGCCTTTCTTGTTATCATTAGCAAATTCCATACAAATTACTTAACACCACAAAATTATACTTAGTTCTGTATTCTCTAAAAGGACCTATACTGGGATGTGGGTATGGGGCGGAACCAAGAAACAGTGCTCACAGGTGGGTAGGGGGTGGAACCAAGGAACGTTGCTCAGAGGTGGGTAGGGGGTGGACACATGAGATGATTTGAAAGGAGGAAAGTTCCTGCAACTACTCTCTGAGAAAAAAAAAAGCCCTGCATGGAGTGTTAGATTTAGGGTTACAGGTAGAGCCAATGGTAGGGCTACAGGGAGGATTAGTTTGATATTTACAAAGGAGGTTCAGGGCTGGGTTAATGTTGGGGTTACTGGGTGTAAGAGGGCTTACAATGGGCTAGAGGTTGTCACCAAGAGTACAAGTCCCTGCCCTGCTTCTCTCCTTGCTAGAACAATGACCCTCTGCCATTTTGTGCCCACTTCATGCCAGAGTCCTCCTCCCAATATTAGCAGCCATTGACCTTTATATCCCCAAAGGAAGGAATGTCCACACATAAATAGAGTTGCTATACTTTACTGGTGGTACTTGGGAAATGGCACACACAGTCCTCCCAAATAGTCTTCTATATGGACTCTGACTCACCCATGACATCACTATAGGAGGGCTCCAGCTACACTTGCTTGTATCTTTCCTCTATACAGGCTATAATGGGAACAGAGCCATCTAGTGGCCAGCCAGCTAACTTCACCTGCTTACAATTGTATATTAATGTTAGGGTTATGGGCTGGGTTAATATTAGGCTTACAGGGAGAGTTAGTTTGGGGTTATACAAAGAGAAAGGGTGAAGGTTACAGGGAGATTTAATGTAGGGCTGACAGTGAGTCTAGTATAAGGTAGGGTAGAATAGTGCTAGGGTTACAGAGAGGGCTATAGTACAGGGAGGGTTAATGTTAGGGTTTCAGGTAAGGTTTATATTGCAGGTTAGTGTTACGTTTACAGCAAAATTCATGAAGGGGTTAAACTAAGTTATTTAATTTTTAAAGTGTAGGTCAAGACAAATTAAAAAAAAAAAAAAAAAAAAAAAAATATATATATATATATATATATATATATATACAGTGGGGATTGAAAGTTTGGGCACCCCAGCTAAAAATTTGTATTAATGTGCATAAAGAAGCCAAGGAAAGATGGAAAAATCTCCAAAAGGCATCAAATTACAGATTAGACATTCTTATAAGATGTCAACAAAAGTTAGATTTTATTTCCATCATTTACACTTTCAAAATAACCGAAAACAAAAAAATGGCGTCTGCAAAAGTTTGGGCACCCTGCAGAGTTAATATCTTGTACTGCCCCCTTTGGCAAGTATCACAGCTTGTAAACGCTTTTTGTAGCCAGCCAAGAGTCTTTCAATTCTTGTTTGAGGTATCTTTGCCCATTCTTCCTTATAAAAGTCTTCCAGTTCTTTGAGATTTCTGGGCTGTCTGTCACGCACTGCTCTTTTAAGGTCTATCCATAGATTTTCAATTATGTTCAGATCAGGAGATTGTGAAGGCCATGGCAAAACCTTCAGTTTACGCCTCTTGATGTAATCCCCCTTGGATTTTGAGGTGTGTTTTAGGATCATTATCCATTTGTAGAAGCCATCCTCTCTTTAACTTCAGCTTTTTCACAGATGGCATCAAGTTACCATCCAAAATTTGCTGAAATTGTATTGAATCCATTTTTCCTTCTACTCGTGAGTTGTTCCCTGTGCCACTGGCTGCAACACAACCCCAAAGCATGATTGATCCAACCCCATGCTTAACAGTTGGACAGAGGTTCTTTTCATTAAATTCTGTGCCCCTTCTTCTCCAAACGTACCTTTGCTCATTCCGGCCAAAAAGTTCAATTTTAACCTCATCGGTCCACAGAACTTGTTTCCAAAATGCATCAGGCTTGTCTATATGTTCATTTGCAAAGTTCCAAACTATGATTTTTGTGGTGAGGACGTAGAAGAGGTTTTCTTCTGATGACTCTTCCATGAAGACCATATTTGTACAAGTATCTCTTATAGTGGAATAGTGTACCACAACTCCAGTGTCTGCCAGATCTTTCTGGAGGGATTGTGCAGTCAAATGTGGGTTTTGAATTGTTTTTCTCACAATCCTGCGAGCTGTTCTGTCTGATATTTTTCTTGGTCTTCCAGATCTTGCTTTAACTTCCACTGTTCCTGATGACTGCCATTTCTTAACCTCCTTGGCGGTATTCCCGAGTGTAGCTCGGGGTAACATTTCAGTACCACAAACGGTAACCCTGAGCTACACTCAGGAATACCATGCGGCACTGCTCCGGCATTTGTTCTTCACTTACCTTACCCTGCGCTCCCGCGATGTGTCCCCTGCAGCGTCCCCGGCCATCTCCTCCGGCCGATGCGGCATCCGGCTTCTGTGTCCTGTCCCTGTGACGTCGGGACGTACGGGCGCCGCTGGCGGTGGGAAATTTAAAAATTTTAAAAAATGTCTTTTTTTTTTTTTTTACATTTTACATAGTAAAACATTGCTGTCTCAACCAATTTCACATACATCTTGTCCCTAATGCTTTGTCCTGCGCCCTGCCTGCATTTTGTCTGTTCTTTCTGCCTGGAAACTGAGAAAACGTCCATGGCGTCCAAAAAGCGTCCCTTTAGGTCAAAAGCGGTTTTAGACCAGCTAGAGAACAGCGATAGTAAATCAGAACCACTTGAAGAATTGAGTGATAATGATTCGTGGGGAAATTCGTCATCAGACACTGAAAACGATTTTGCGACTTTGCTCAGCAATGTGCTAACTTGGCGCTATATTTCACATTTCAGTGTTTTCGGTTTGATTATATTATTGAATTAAATGTATTATTATTATATTATTATTTTTTTATGATTATTTATCATATGTTTAATAGACTCTTGTTCGGACAGATTTCAGTGAGTTATTCCTAAGAATTACAGGCCTACAATAAAAAAACTACATATTTCCATGCAAAAAAATGTACCGCTTTCAGCACCAAAAATCGGAAAGAATCATACCGCCAAGGAGGTTAATTACATTCCGAACAGAGGATATTGACATCTGAAAACGCTTTGCTATCTTCTTATAGCCTTCTCCAGCTTTGTGAGCGTCAACTATTTTCAGTTTCAGTTTTCTAGACAACTGCTTAGAAGAACCCCATGGTGCTGATTGTTGGGGCAAGGTCAGATGAGTCTGGGCATTTAAAACCTTTGAAATTGACATCACCTGGTCTTCCCAGACGATGATTGAGAACAATCCATGACACTGGCAGGTCTCAGCTTTGCAAAGGGGGCAGTGCATGCTATAAATTCTGCAGGGTGCCCAAACTTTTGCAGACGCCATTTTTTTGTTTTCTGTTATTTTGAAAGTGTAAATGATGGAAATAAAATCTAACTTTTGTTGACATATTATAAGAATGTCTAATCTGTAATTTGATGCCTTTTGGAGATTTTTCCATCTTTCCTTGGCTTTGTTATGCACATTAATACAAATTTTTAGCTGGGGTGCCCAAACTTTCGATCCCCACTGTATATATATATATAGATATATATACAGTGGGGAACATAATTATTTAATCAGATTTTGTATGTTTGCCCACTTACAAAGATAAAAGGGTCTATAATTTTTTATCATAGATGTATTTTAAATGGTAGAAACAATATCAATCAAAAATCCAGAAAAAGCACATGATACAAATGTTATAAATTGAGTTGCAGTTCAGTGAGTAAAATAAGTATTTGATCCCCAGGCAAAACATGACTTCGTACTTGGTGGAGATACCCTTGTTGGCAAGCACAGAGGTAAGACGTTTCTTGTAGTTGGTTACCAGGTTTGCACACATCTCAGGAGGGATTTTGGTCCACTCTTCTTTAAAGATGTTCTCTAAATCCTTAAGGCTTCTTGGTTGTTGCTTGGCAACTCGGAAGTTTCAGCTCCATCCATGAATTTTCTATAGGATTAAGGTCTGGAGACTGGCTAGGCCACTCCATGACCTTAATGTGCTTCTTCTTGAGCCACTCAAAACACGGCGATTTAAGTTAAAGCTAAACAGCTCAGTTTTGGTCTCATCTGACCTCAGAATTTTCTCCCAATCCTTCTCTGAATCATTTAGATGTTAACTGGTAAACCTCAGAGGGGCCTGTACATGTGCCTTCTTGAGGAGAGGGACCTTGCGTGCGCTGCAGGATTCCAGTTCATGGTGGCGTATTGTGCTACCAATGGTTTGTTTGGTGACTGTGGTCCCAACTGCCTTGATATCAATCACAAGCTCCTCCCATGTAGTTCTGGGCTGATTCCTCACTTTTCTGATGATCATCCTCACCCTATAAGGCGAAATCTTGCATGGAGCTCCAGACCGAGGGTGATTTATGGTTATTTTGTATTTTTTCCATTTGCGAACAATCGCTCCAACAGTTGTCTCCTCCTTACCAAGCTTCTTGCTGATGGTCTTGTATCCCATTCTAGCCTTGTGCAGGTCTACAATCTTGTCCCTGATGTCCTTTGACAGCTCTTTGGTCTTGCCCATGGTGGTGCTCAAGAAAGAGGTTCTGTGGACAGGTGTCTTTTATACACATTGAGTTGTCATTATGAGCACCTTCTTAAACTGACAGGACTAATCTGTGTACCACATGAGCACATAGCCAGTCTGTGGGAGCCAGAATTATTGTTGGTTGATAAGAGATCAAATACATATTTTACTCACTGAACTGCAACTCAATTTATTATATATGTATCATGTGTTTTTATGGATTTTTGGTTGATATTCTGTCTCTATCATTTAAAATACACCTATGATAAAAATTATTTTAAAAAAAATTCTTTGTAAGTGGGCAAACTTACAAAATCTTCAGTGGGTCAAATAATTATTTTCCCCACTGTATATAGTACATCTCTGCAATACATACACATTTCCCCATGTTCTATCTCTTTAAAAACACTGTGAGTATAAGAGAATACCACTTGATCTGCCAGAATTACACTCAGCTCTAAATTTTTGTATTGTGGGCTGACAACAGGCGGCATTTTTGTAGACTGAGTGGTGTCAGCCCTTCCAGCTGTCTTTTGCTAAATGATTCAGACTCACCCTTAGTCTATTTTACTCAACTAAAAGGGTAACTGATCTGTTGCCCCAAAATAAGAACTATGAGGGCTCATTTCTGACAAGGTATTTTTTGCACTATTAGGATTTTTTTTAGACTTTAAAGTGGTTGGAAACCCTTACCCAGTGGGTGGCCTCAGGTTATACACAGAGATGAAGCAAATCCTCCTAGGTACGTTGTATCTGTTTGTTTGCAGTCTTCTCTTCTCTACATCTGTTCAAAGTGCAGAATTTATACAGCTCGTCTCAGTGGAGTCCCTAGGGTTGGTGTCACCCAGTGTGGTAACACGTGGTGTCACCCCTCCAGAGGGGAAGGAGCGGTGCTTGTGCAGTGGTATGCCATGAAGATATGTATCCCCTGAAGCAACTGCGCATGTGCCGGTTTCAGGCCGAAGAAGCCAATCTCTGACTTTAGCACAGAGCTACCACAGTTAACCCCTTACAAGCTGCAAACCGCTAAAGCTGATCCTGCGGAATTCTATGGTTTGCAAGATCAGTTAATCCATATAGGTTCGACCTATATGGGGTTAACTGATCTTGCAACCCATAGTGATTCACGGGATCAGCTTCAGCGGTTTTCAGCCTGTAAGGGGTTAACTGTGGCAGCTCTGTGCTAAAGTCAGAGATTGGCTTCTTCGGCCTGAAACTGGCACATGCTCAGTTGCTTCAGGGATACATATCTTCACGGGTCCGGGATACTCATTTTACTGCTACATCGGGGGCAGCTGTCACTGTGTCGGGAAACCGGGATCACCCCAATAACTGGCCAGGATCTTCACAGAGCCCAGAAGCTCTGCTGGCACCCTGCTCCTGCACACCCTGTGATGGTGTCACCCTCACCCCCCCCCCCAGGGATGCCACTGGCTTGTCTGAGAGTTCAGAAACAAGCGTCGAAGAGCTGAAGCGTCAGTGGGGAGAGAGCTGATTGGAGGGAAGAAACACACCTCCTCCACACAGCTCACAGGAACACAGCTGAGGCTGTCAATTTGCTGGAGATCCCTCCCCTGTCACCATTTTTCTCTTGGTGTCATGTCAGAAGTGATTTGTGCTTGATAGCAGAAGAATGAGGCAGCAGACAGAAATGACACCTATTGTTCTTAATTGAGACAATTGCACACTATAGAAAGATATGCTTTTTTCATATTTCATGTCTGAGGTTTACAACAACTTTAACCACTTGACCTCCAGGAGATTTGCCCCCCTTTCTGACCAGGCCATTTATTGCAATACAGCGCTGCATTACATTAACTGACAATTGCGTGGTCATGCAACGCTGCACCCAAATTAAATTTATGTCCTTTTTCTCCATGAATAGAGCTTTCTTTTGGTGTTATTTGATCACCTCTGCGGTTTATTATTATTTGCACTATAAACAATAAAAGACCGAAAATTTTGAAAAAAAAACCCAATATTTTTGCTATACAGTAAAAAAATAAAAAAAAAATAAAATGTCATCATAAATTTTGTCCAAAATGTATTCTGTTACATGTTTTTGCTAAAAAAAAAAATCCCAATACGTGTAAATTAATTGGTTTACATGAAATTTATAGCGTCTACAAATGATGGTATATATACTGGGATTTACATTTTTTTTAAAACTAGTAATGGTGACGATCAGCGACTTATAGCGGGACTGCGGCTGGCATTCTGACACTGGGTGGGAATTGACTAACTGCCACTGACATCCCCAGTGATACTAATTCAGTGGTCAGTGCTAATAAAAAGCACTGACACTGTACTAATGACACTGGGCAGGAAGAGGTTAACTTCTGGGGCGATCAAAGAGTTAACTGTGTGCTGTTTTACTATGTGTGCTGTGTGTGATTTTCTGTGTACACATGCTGCTTTGTATTGCTCTGCTAAGCAAAGCAAAACAAAGAAGCATGCTGGAGCTGACAGGGGAGAGATATGTATTGTTTACAGACAGACTTCTTCCCTGTCAGTGTTCTTTGGCTGGTGTGCTGGGTGCTGGTGGGGAATCTCCAGCTGGAACCCAGTGATTGACAGCCAAAGCCGCTAATGGTGGCACGGGCAGGGCGGTGCGCGTGTATGCGCCCCCTACCCGGAAATGCAAAATCACGTACAGTATACATATATGTGATTTTGCGCAGCCCTGCCTCCCTGTAGCAGTATTTGGGCAGGGTTTCTCAACTAGGGTTCCATGGAATGCAAGGGTTCCTCTGGAGGTTGCTAGGGGTTCAATCTTTCTATCTGTATGGGGTAATTCTTCCCAATGACCACAAGTATAAGGGGCATTTTCCCCACTGACCATCAATGTATCATGAGCTGTAGATATAAGAATTTTTAGCAGGGGTTACCTGAGACCAGAAAGTTATTTAAAGGGTTCCTCTGAATTCAAAAACGCTTTAGGGGACACCTTTAGAGCACTTTCACAAGCACTTGACATTGGCAGAATTGTCATGTGTATGTCATGCAATAATCACATCTATACCTGTAGCAGATACATTAAATAATGGAACAACTAAGCAACTGAAAATGATGCATAATAACTGGAAAGCACGCTAAACGTTTGTTGCTTGCTGATTCGATTTACAATGATTGTAACTCAGGAACATTTCCTGAACTGATCTCTGATGTGTCATCGTAGGAGCCACTGTCAGAGTCATTCTGGATGTGAGCGGCTACATATCCATCGTTATCTCTGCCTGTACAGTCATTTTGTACACGTTACTTGGAGGACTCTATTCTGTTGCCTATACTGATGTCATTCAGCTACTCTTCATGATGATCAGTCTGGTGAGTAAAGCCCTAATTCCCACAATGTTTACTATAGGGTTCAGTGTGCAAATGGTCTCAAGGACAGCTCCAGCTAAACCCTTAAAACTGAAACACACTCAGTATATAATAGTTGTCTGCAAAGTGCTTGCCATGGCCACCCTGTGACCTGCAATGTGAACTACTAGTGAGCCTCATCATCATACTGGTGCCACCCATCGTCAACTCTCTCTTCTTCTAGTAAGCTAATCTTGGTACTCCCTCCTCGCACCCACCAGTTAAGATAGTAGGCACTCCCTTAAAAAAGCCTGATTTCAAACTTCTGGTGTGTGGCAACATACTATGAAGACCAATGTGGCCGAAGACTATAAAGACTGAATGATGTCACATAGGAATGAGTAGATGAACCAAATTCTTGCATTTTGCTGGATCTTTTCTGTCAAAGGCAGGGGCGGACTGACCATTTGGAAACTCGGGCACTGCCCGAGGGCCCGGGTCAGTAGGGGGCCCCATGAGATGCCTCTGGTACCTTTTTCATAGACTTTTTTGAGTTTGGGCAAGGACACAGGGGCCCCATGATCCCCTATTGAGGGCCTGGGGTCAGTAGGGGGCCCCGTGAGATGCCCCTGGTACCTTTTTCGTAGACTTTTTTGAGTTTGGGCAAGGACACAGGGGCCCCATGATCCCCTATTGCCCGGGGGCCCCATGAGTTGTCAGTCCACCCCTGGTCAAAGGCGATGTGGCAGTGTTGGCTATATGTTATACAGATTTCCGATTTATTCTCTTATCATATGAATCCATTGTCATCTTACAGTTTAAAAGTACTTGGTTGGAAATACATTGTCTGTTGGAGTCAATATAACATCCTACAGTTTGACATATAAATGGGTCAGTGGGGACACCATTAGGTGGTGTGTGGAATGCTCATCCCACCACAGGATATCTTCAGAAAATTACAGGAGGGGGTGAAGACAAGACTAGTCAAACTGTCCAAATCATGAGGACTGCAGTGACTGGTCTTTATTACAGGAAGCTCCTACACAGAGGCAAAGTTTCACATTGAACTACTGCACAGTTATGGAAAAAACATGCAAAGCACACATATGCCTTTTTCTAAATTTTGGAAACTCTGGTGAAGGGTTGGAATACCTGTCATGTTTTTTATTAGTATTTGTTACCCCCTTAGGGAGATTCACCCTCTCTGTCTGTCCTAGTGACCTTTGTCACTTGGACTGAACATGAGGGAAAATCAAAAATTTTGAGTTGCCACATTGGGAGAACATACAAACTTTGCAAACAAAATATTTCCCAGCACACTTACCAGCCAGCCTGCAAAACAACTAACTTGCCTGTCTAACAGGTTATGTTCAAAACAGAGGGTGTTTTTTTGCATCCATTTGCACATTTATGCATAAGCCGCAGTTCCCATGACAAGGGACCTCTGTATATACCGATGTCCTAACTCTATAATTTTCAGAGCCTCCATAGTTGGAGCACATATAGCAATGAATAGTCTGAGGGAAGGTGTGCCTGGAGGGAGCCCACTCCTCCTTAATGGCACAAGGACACACATGACCACCAGCAATAGCAAAATGGCAGTGAAGGCATCCAATGTGTCCCTGCACCCAATCCAGCCAACTGTACAAAAAAATGGCAACCATTGCAACCTATAACTAGTAAGGTGCACATGGAAGGGCAATGCATATCACAAACAAACAAAAAATTTCCCAGCACACTAACCAGCCAGCCTGCAAAACAACCAAATTGCCCTGTCTAACAGTTTACATTAAAAACAGAGGGTGTTGTTTGCACATGTTTGCAAATATATGCGTAAGCTACAGTGACCGCGACAAAGGACCTCTGTATATACTGTGATTCTAACATTTTCAGAGTGTCCATCGTAGGAGCACATGTAACAATGGATAGGTTCAGGGTAGGTGTGCCCAGAGAGTTAGGCCTGCAGAATATAGAGGTCCCTTGTCAAGGGCACTGCGGCTTATGCATATATTTGTAAATATGTGAAAACAAAACCCTCTGCTTTTTAATGTAAACTGTTAGACAGGGCAATTTAGTTGTTTTGCAGGCTGGCTGGCAAGAGTACTGGGGAATCTTTTGTTTGCTTGCGATGTGTGTTGCCCTTCCATGTGCACCTTGCTGTAAAGGCTAGTTATAGGTTGGAGTAGTTCCCATTTTTTTAGAACATACAAACTCCAGGCAGGCATAGAGTCAAGTTAGAGCCTGTTAGAGTCGAGTTAGAGCCTGAATCTAGAATTCTGGTTATTAAGGCCAATATTGCCTGTTTGCAGTCCACATATACAGTATGCTATGACTGCCTGTTTGTTGCCCATCTATTGTCATGACTGTTCATTTGCCCATGTAGTGTCACTGTTGCCCATTTTTTTGCACATATGCTTGCACCTCTACCCATTTATTACCTATGTATTGCCATCAGTGCCCTTTTGTTGCCCATGTATTTCTACCATTTCCCTTTTGTTGTCCATGTAATTTTACCATTGCCCTTTTGTTGACCCTGTAATTCTACCAGTGAACTTTTGTTACCCATGTAATTCTACCATTGTCCTTTTCTTGCCCATGTAATTCTACCTTTGCCCTTTTGTTGTCCATGTACAGTAATTCTACCATTGCCCATGTAAATCTACCATGGTCCTTTTGTTGCCCATGTAATTATACCATTACCCTTTTGTTACCCATGTAATTTTACCAGTGCCTTTTTGTTGCACATGTAATGCTACCATTGCCCTTTTGTTGCCCATACAATTTTACCATTGCCCTTTTGTTGTCCATGTACTTCCACCATTATTATTTTGTTGCCTGCATATTTCCACCATTGCCCTTTTTGTTGCCAAAGTATTGTAACAATTGCCCCTTTTTTGTCCACAACATTGTCACAGTTGCCAGTGTGTTACCCTAACATTGCCACAAATACCACGATAATGCTTGTGTATTGCCATATTCGCTCACATATTACCACAGTCTTATACTATGGTGAGTGTGGGAATACACTGTTTGTTTAAGGACTGTATTACTAGAATTTAGCCCTGTCTGACCCTGGGTCTGTTACTGGCAAACTATGCCCCCCAAAAAGCTGACATTTTTGCTATACCCTTGGTTTGGCATGATGCGCTCAATGCATTGCAATAGCAGTGCCCCACCTTTAGAACTTTCAAGGAATACCAGTAATATAATAGAAATTCGGAATGTATTTTCTCCAAATGCCTACAGAAAAAAAAAAATAATGTCCCACTGCCACTACGTGTACCTGAGGCCTGTCTATGCTCTGTTGCTGTGATCTGACAATGGAATGTGTGCTTCGCCAACGTTAGATTTCAGTGTCCTGGTATGCCGGGAGGAATGTCTGCAATCAACAGTGTGTATGAGTGCAGGTCTGCACTGAGACTGAATTGCCTGATATTGAAATGACAGATGAAGCTAATCTCCTTAATGTTTGTAACGCTCATTAAATATTAAATGTATACTAATCATCTGTCTTATTTTAAACGTAGTGGATTTGTGTACCATTTGCTCTTCTAAATTCTGCATCTGAAAACATTGCTTACACAGCAGTGAATAAAGTGTACCAAGAACCCTGGATTGGTAATATACAGCCACAGTACATTGCAAGATGGCTGGATGATTTGGCTTTCCTGGTGAGTTCATGTCTTCTGTTTGTTCTTGTGATGCAAAAGCATGTCATTAAGAGCTGTGTATACTCTTTCTGGCTAAATAGTCATGCATATAATGCAGTAGGCCATAGCAGCCATTTAGAATGTAGCTTTAACTCATGTGAATAAAGTAAATTTCAGTTGGTTAAGTTATATGTAAATTTCCATTTCATTAATTTTTTTTAACATTTTTTTGAAGTTCCAGAATTGTAATAACAAATTTCAGTTATGTAAGGTGAAAAAAACACGAATGCAATGAAATACTCTTAGAAAGGCTCTACTTATGAGCGCTTACAATTTAAAAGGAAGGACAAGTGATACAAAAAGTAGTAACTGTGTAGTAATGAGTTGTTTGAGAAAGTAAAATTCAGTCATTAGCTGAGGCGGGATAGGCCTCTCTGAAGAGATGAGTTTTCAGGGGTCCCCTAAAGATGGACAGAGTATGAGAGGTAGTGAGTTTCAAAGGATGGAAGAGGCTCTGAAGAAGTCCTGAATATGAGCATGTGAGAAGGTGATAGGAGGTATCTGAAACACGAGGCCTGGGCTCTCTCATTGATCTGAAGCTCATTAGATGATGCTTCTGTCCATATGCTGTGGCCGTGGGCTTGGTCATGCTTGTTGTAGGCTTCAGTGAGTAGCCCTTTTTCTAGAGTCATAATAGTGGGATATAGGGAAACTGGGGGTTCGCTACTGCATATTACAGGTTAGTTACCTACAGTTTTGGTGTGCTTATTCATAGGTCTTTGATTGGGTGGGGAAAGATCCAAGAACCTGTGGGGAGCACCTAAGGAGATTTAACCTTCTAGCAGGTAAAGAAAAGGAGACAGAAAAGAGAGGAGTACAGTACAAGTAATGTGAGTCATTGGGAAAGGGCAAGGGGTGGTGTAGGGTGGGGAAAACCGGGGGGGTGAATCCACACCAACACGTGTGAACTGGCAATTAAGATAGTATAGTATACATTATATTACAGTTAATAAGGCCCTATCAAATTTAACTTTTTAACTTGACTATTGCACCAGAGATAGGCTCCTCCACTTCCCCATCACCACCATTACCGTTCCGCACCAAAGGTCCTTCCCCTTAACCAATTCTACTAACAAAAGACAGAACACCAATTTTGGAGTAAATGGCCAACATGGCCTTTTAATAATAACTCAAGTTACAATACACCAACCATTCCTTATAACAGAAAAACCCCCAGAATTGTTGTTGGTCTTCGAAGGCACCCGAAAATGATCCGAAATGCACCTGCGGGCAACCATATACACTAGGCCTCCAGCCGCTACCAACCAGCTCGGAGACAACCATACCGTCCGCAGTGCAGCACCACCACCTTCCAGTTAAACCTTGGTTAACTGGGAATGTCCCCAGGCATCCCATACCACGGATGGGTCCCACACCATTGTTGTTTACCTTCCAAATAAGAACCGCAAACTCCAAAGACCAACAACCGCCACCAACCAGACCGTATAACAGAAACCCCCAGAATTGTTGTTGGTCCTCGAAGGCACCCCAAAACGATCCGAAATGCACCTGCGGACAACCATATACACTAGGCCTCCAGCCGCAACCAACCAGCTCGGAGACAACCATACCGTCCACAGTGCAGCACCACCACCTTCCAGTTAAACCTCGGTTAACTGGGAATGTCCCCGGGCATCCCATACCACGGATGGGTCCCACACCAGTGACGTTCACCATCCAAATAAGAACCGCCTCCAAAGACCAACAACCGTCCATTAACCAAGATAGTCCCCCCCTTCTACCCGGAGGGACCCAAAAACTCACCCAAACAGGGAGGGCGGGAGGGAAGCTCACACTCTTGCCGTCCAGCTAACTGACGCCCCCTCACAGAACCTCCCACCCTAAGGTGCAGCAAAACCCCACCTACACAAAACCTCTACCAATCAGCTACCCCCCATTAACAATAACAAATCCCCCTGGAGCTACCTTAACCCTTTCTGCTCTTCCTTCCCCCACTCTGGGCCTAGTCATGTATGCCCTGCGCTATTTCTTCTTTACTATTTCGCTACGGGCATTTCTTTTTAATGTAATTTCAAAAGTCATTTTCAATATTTTTAAAACTGCAGCTTTCATTAAAATAACACCAGGTGATTCTACCATGAAGGTCCTTTGATGGACTATTCTACCTTTGGCGGGAGATCACACCACCATTCAGTCAGTGTATAGTCCCCGCACTGCTGGGTGCTGGAACAAGAGTTCCATCATTTGACCCGGAGACATTGCCCAGACTTTAGAAGGCTGTCATAAGGTGACAACACTCAGTTCCTGTGCAATATTTTGTGCTCCTGGATTATCACCCTTTCACACGGGCTTGTGATAGGGATAACAAAGTAGACACAGTTTACTGTTGTTATCATCAGGAAACCCTGAGAAATGCCATGTACCCATCACTGGAGTAGACGTATACAGTAACGTGGCTGCAGGAGATCAGCATCACTAAGATGCAACAAATGATAAAACAGTATTTTATTCAAAAGGCTGTAGTTTATTATATATGTACTTTAGCAAACTAAATTTTGTTCAATTGAAGTCATACCTCAGAGTGGTCACCAAAAACTGTGTGCTATCAATTATTACTTCTATGGCTCTTATTTGTCAGAAATTAGATTGAGCTATTGAGCTCTTTAAACAACAGGTTTTTCACAACAGAACAGATAGGTAATCACATGAAAAAGAGCCTAGAGCTTTACTTACTAGCTGGAAATTAATGAACTCAAATTATTTACACAATACTTTGTATTTTCCAGACTGCACATAAATAAAACAATAATACACAAAAATATATTCAAAACTATATAAAATTAGTTGGAACCTAGTAGCACTATACTGCTGCTAGTAAAGTTTGTTGATCTGACAGCAGTTTCAGAGCTGAACTCACAGTTGAGCTAACAGCTATGCAAATGATTGAAATACATGTCTGGGAACTGTTTTACCTGCCAAAATTCTGTTTATTCATTCTTATAATCCAGGCACCCCTGCCAGACAGCATGGCTAGGTTTGTGACCTCACCTTTCCAGGAAACATTGGTGTTATTGGGTTGGGGGGGAACCTTGGTGAATGAGGAAAAAATAAAATGTTGGTATTGGTGGGGGAAGGGTGAAAAGAAAAGGTGATGGTGCCAGTGGGATAGAGGAATTAACCATTGGCACCCAGTGTTGGGGCATGGGAAAAAAATTAGTTCTCAGGAGGAACTCTGATGCCGTGTCCCATGCTGCTTTCTCCGTGCAGGAACTATACATCTACTGCTGGTAGGAGATCCCTTCACCAGGCAGTGAGTGCATAAACCTGCAGCTGGGTGCTGAAAACAAAATGTTCATCATTTGGCTCAGGATATGCCCTAGAAATGTGAGATGCCAGGTTCCAGGACAGTTGGGTGTATATGCCGCTGTCATCCAGAGGGCAGCTCTGACATGGAGAAGCATACCTTGACTCAAGATGGCCTCCTCTACGCAGAGACATGTTGCAGAACAAGGCATGGTGAGTCAGTAATTGTTGGAACTATCAGTGGCAGGGAGACCGCAGGTAATACTGGTGACCAATTCTTTGCCCTCATCTTGCCTTTTTGCTGCACAGTTCAGTTCCCCCTTAACCCCTTTACAACTGCCTGACCACCCCACAGAAGTTGGGATTCAGAATCGTCTCTCAGGTCTCTTTATAGCAAGTTTGCTGTGTAAATGCCACAAACATTCGCACAGTTATCACAAATAAATCCTGTACTCTTGTCTAATATGTATATTTCATAATATATATAGTAGTCACGATACTGTATTTTCCTGATTGAGGTATTTCAGGAAAATACCACATTAGGCCGCTAGATAGAGCTGATGAATAAAGGAAATACATGTATAGTCATGGCCAAAAATATTGGCTCCCCTGCACTACTTCACTCAGAAAATTGTTGCGTTTACAAATGTTTAGGCATTCTCATGTTTATTTTTTTTGTTTGTATTGGTATGAAACAAAAAAGTGGAGAAACAAAAAGCCAAATCTGACATTCCACACAAAACCCCAAAAAATGGACTGGACAAAATTATTGGCACCTTCTCAAAATTGGAAGATTAATTGCATTCCAAGTTTGTGATGCTCCTGTAATTTGTAATTAAACTCACTGTATCAATTAACAGGTGCTGACAATATAGAAATCACACTGGTAACCAGTTAAAATGGTGAAAAACTGACTCAACCTTTCTGTTGAGTGTCTCTGTGTGCCACATGGAGCAGAGAAAAGAGAAAGAGCAGCAAATATTTGTCTGAGGATTTGAGAAACAAATTGTGGCAAAGCACGGACAATCTCAAGGTTACAAGTTCATCTCCAGAGATTTTAATGTTCCTGTGTCCACTGTACGCAACATTGTCAAGAAGTTTACAGCCCATGGCACTGCAGCTAATATCCCTTGGCGTGGACAAAGAGAAAAAACGTCAAAGATTGCAATGAAGGACTGTTTGAATGGTGAATAAAGACCCTCGATCAACTTCAAGATAAATTCAAGCTGACCTTCGGGCACAGGGTAAAACTGTGTCAGCTCGCACTATACAGGCAGTCCCCGGGTTACGTACAAGATAGGGACTGTAGGTTTGTTCATAAGTCGAATTTGTTCATAAGTTGAATCAGGCACTTTTATAAGCACTAACTACTAACCAAACGACAGGATATTAGATTACGTTTTTGTAATAAGGTTACAGAAAGCAGTAAAACCTCAAGAGGCTCTAAACTGGTGTTTTGCATAAGAACTGCAGCTTGGACACATGTTTGCCTTAACATATTTAACTTTTATGTGCATGTAAATGTTTAAACATCAAATTCAACATTCAAATATTATACTGTAAACTCTTGTACAGTGTAGAGTACAACTTTAAACTATCTTGGCAGAGGATGGCATGTTGGAGAGGATTGGGCAGCAACAGTGTCTCCGACATCCAAATGTAAAAATACACTGTACTGTAATGTACTGTATGAGAGAACTCTGCTCTCCTTTTACACAGCACACGCTGCCCCCTCCCCCCTGCACAGACGGAGGATCACTTCAGTGAGCAGCCTGACAGCCTCTCCTTTCCTCTCCCCGGAGGTGCAGACAGACAGTCTTAAATCACTTTGGAGATAGTGGGCAGACACTGCTAGCCCCACAAGTAACGAGCAATGGATGTCTCTGTCTCTTATGTCTCTCTGATGTCTCTTATCAGCTAGTCTCTTATCAGCTTGCTGCACAAGAATGCTGACAGCTTGACTTCCGGTCCCGAGGGAAGTGTACGTAAGTATGAGTATTACGTAAGCCGAATGTACTTAACTCGGGGACTGCCTGTATATCGCCTTCTGAATGAAAAGGAACGCTATTGTAGGAGACCCAGGAAGACCCCATTACTGACAGAGAAACATAAAGAAGCCAGATTGGAGTTTGGCAAAATCATTTTGGGAGAATGTGCTGTGGACAGACAAAAAAAAATTACAGCTTTTTGGTAAAGGCCATTGTTCTATTGTTTTCAGAAAAAGAGATGAGGCCTTTGAAGAAAAGAATACAGTCCCTACAGTCAAACATGGTGGAAGTTCACTGTTGTTTTCGGGTTGCTTTGCTTCTTCAGGCACTGGATGTCTTGTCTGTGTGCATGAAATTATGAAATCTGAAGACTACCAAAGAATTCTGAGGTGCAATATAGGGCCAAGTGTCAGAAAGCTGGGTCTTTATCTAAGGTCATGGGTCTTGCAACAGGACAATGACCCAAAGCACACGTCAAAAAGCACCTAGAATTGGCTTCAGACAAAGCGCTGGAGAGTACTGAATTTGCCAGCAAGGAGTCCAGATCTCAATCCCATAGAGCACCTGTGGTGAGATCTCAAAACAGCAGTTTGGAAAAGGAACCCTTCCAATCCAAGACCTGGAGCAGTTGGCGAAAGAAGAGCGGTCCAAAATTCCAGTAGAGAGGTGTAAGAAACTCATTGATGGTTACAGGAAGCGTTTGATTTTTGTTATTTTTTCCAAGGGGTGTGCTACCAAATATTAAATTGAGGGTGCCATTAATTGTGTCCAGTTTATTTTTGGAGTTTCATGTGGAATGTGTCAGATTTGGCTTTTTGTTTCTGCACTTTTTTTGTGTCATACCAAAAACAAACAAAAGAATAATCATGAGAATGCCAAAACAATAGGCAAAAATGCAGGGGTGCCAATATTTGTGGCCATGACTGTATTAGACAGAGTACTGTGATGGCTTTACGATTACTTGAGGCACACAGTTACAATTTTATAAACAGACCTCCAAGAATCATTACTAAATACAGACACTCCCAAGCCGAATCCTTCCAAATGTTTTGTTTTTAGTGGAGTTCAACCCAAAAGTTTGCCACCCCCTTCACTGCCATATTTGGCACTTTTTGAGGGGGAGCGGATACCTGGTTTTTGACAGATACCCGCTCCCACTTCCAGCTCAGTGCCCTGTGGTGAAGTGAGCCAGAATTTTGGCCCCCCTCCTTTCTCCTGCAGTCTTCTGGGATACTTCACAGGCCCCAGAAGACTGCCAGGGCAATCAGGATGTGCAGCGCGACTCGCTCATGCGCAGTGGGCACCCGGCTGTGAAGCCGCAAGCTGTCACAGCCTGGTGCCCACAGTTGAGATGCCGACATCGGGGAGACAAGGGGGAGAAAAGGGATAGTGGGGTACTCTGGGATAGGTGAGTGTGTGTTTATTAAAAGTCAGCAGCTACAGTTGTAGCTGCTGACATTTAATAAACTCAAATATGACTGGAACTCCACTTTAAGCTCCCTGTTTATTTCTTTGGAGGTTCCAAGTGACAGCAATTACATTTAGTGACACCGTATGTACTATATAAGATATTTTAAGGATAGAGAGATTTGTCAGTAATTCCTGGCACATCCATCAGATGGATCAGTTGCTTGTGTATGGTATGGTACATACCCAGTACAAACCTATACACCGCTGGTTTGGACAAGTGAGTGTACAATTGGACCTCAAATTCAATTTTTTTAAATTTGATCGTAACATTTTTTTTTCCTTTTTTTTATAAAAGGAAGTGCAGAGCCCTCCATTCAAGCATCTTACATTATTACCTATAAAAATGAAATAACAGATTTTTCACCCACTGGTTTATTGACACATTTTGTCATTTCAGAGTCTGGGTGGCATTGCATGGCAAATCTATTTTCAGAGAGTTCTTGCTGCATCATCCTCTAAGCAAGCAATGGTAACATCTTACCTCTCAGGGGTTCTGTCTGCAGTCTTGGGGGTCCCTTCTATTCTCATTGGAGCAGTTGCAGCCTCTACAGGTAATATTCAGACGATATAACTCACCAAGACAAAGTCATAACTGGAAATGTTTGATACATCATGGAATGATCTCAGCTCCAGCACAGATTTTATTCATTCTCTAGGTCAGCCTTTCTCAACCTTTTTCAACACAGAGGAACCCTTGAAATAACTTTCAGTCTCAAGGAACCCCTTCTAAAACTTACTACAACTCCTGATACCTTAGTGTGATGGTCAGGGAGAAGAATGCTCCTTACACCTGTGGTCACTGGGAACAATTACCCCCCTTACAGATAGCTAGAAGGATTAATGGTGTCAGTGGGAACCTATATGAGAGGCAGAAATTGTTCATTGCTTAACCACTTGCCGCCCGCCCTATGGCCGAATGGCGGCCGGCAAATGTCATCAGAGTTCCGGGTGGACCTCAAACACTGGTGTCCTCCTGCACATGCGCAGATTGCGCTCCTGCAGAGCCGCGCAGCGGCGCGATCTGTCACCGGCCGTGTACCTCAGACACGGCCGATGACAGATCTGAGTATCGGCCCCCGTTGCTGGTACCATGTAACCTGCTGTGACCAATCACAGCAGGTCACATGACAGTTGTATACAATGGATGGCTTCATTCATGCCATCCATTGTATACTAGTGTCTAGCTGTGAATGGTCACAGCTAATCACATGCACATGTCATGTGATTAGCTGTGGCCAAATCACAGCTAAGCACAAAAGAAAAAAAAAACCCTGAATGAATCGATGTCATTCAGGTAAATGCTTGCTTATAGCAAAGTAATTCTTTGCTATAAGCAAATTGTGTAAAAAAAAAAAAAAAAATACTGATCACTTCCCCAAAGTAGTACAGTGTTACTATGGTAACATTGTACTACTTTGGTCATAGTGAAATATGAAAAACAAATCTTAAAAAAAAAAAAAAATAAATAAAAAAAAAAAAAAATATATATATATTTTTTTTTTCATACTGTCACCAGTCAGTGTCCCTGATCACCGCCATGCCAGTTATATGATGACGCTGTACTGCACTGGTGACAGTATGTAAAAAAAAATAGTGAAACTAATTGTTTTAATTTTTTCATTTTCCGAAAAATTATGGCAAAAAAAACACAACTTCAAAAAACTCGCCATGCCTCTTATGAAGTACGTCGGACTGTCTACTTTGCAAAAAGGGGTCATTTGGGGATATCTGTACTGTTCTGACATTCTTGGACCTCAAGAAATTAGATTGGCTGTCAGTACTTCAGGATTGATCAATATTCGGATCTATACCATAGTTTGTGAACTCTAACTTTCCTACAAACTAAATAATGCATCCTAATTTGGGTTATTTTCACCAAAGACATGTAGCAGAATACATCTCGGCCTAAATTTATGAAGAACAATTATTTATTTGCAAACTTTTATAACAGAAACAAAGAAAAATGTGTGTTTTTTTCAAAATTTTTGGTCTTTTTTTGTTAATTTAGCAAAAAATAAAAACCCCAGCGGTGATTAAATACCACCAAAAGAAAGCTCTAGTTATGTGAAGAAAATGATAAAATTTTAGTTTGGGTACAATGTTGTATGACCGCGCAATTGTCATTCAAGGTGTGAGAGCGCTGAAACCTGAAAAATGGCCTGGGCAGGAAAGGTGTAAAATTGCACGTATTGATGGTTAAGGAACCCCTAGCAACCTCTGGAGGAACCCTAGTTGAGAAACCCTGCTCTAGATGATAGCTGTTTAGATTCCTGAGTTAAACTTCTTTTTACTATTAAACTTTGCATCAGATCACAAATATCCCTGGGCAGGGCCGGTGGTAGACTATAGTGCGCCCTAGGCAAGACCATCTACTTGCATCTCCCCCTCCCCTCCCAAAAAAAACCAAACTTCAAAATAACACTCCACTCGGAGCTAATCCTTGCCAACGATAGCTCCATGTGGAGACTGACTGCGGAGCTAGAAGGAAGTGATGTGCTGAAGTTTACAGGAGGCGGCTTCGTCTCCAGCTAACAACATCCAATGCTGTCTGGGGACAGTGACACCAGGACCCAGAAGTGACGTTTTACATGTTGCTTCCAGGTCACTTACAGGAAGGGGAGATCAGTGAACAGATTTTCGATGATCTCCTTCCCTTCTACTGGTGGCTCCCTCTCCACCATGCAAGTCCCAGGTCCCAGGTCAGCTGCTTTGTCTCCAGCTAACATCATCCAATGCTGTCTGGGGACAGTGACACCAGGACCCAGAAGTGACGTTTTACATGTTGCTTCCAGGTCACTTACAGGAAGGGGAGATCAGTGAACAGATTTTCGATGATCTCCTTCCCTTCTACTGGTGGCTCCCACCATGCAAGTACCAGGTCCCAGGTCAGCTGCTTCGTCTCCAGCTAACATCATCCAATGTTGTCTGGGGACAGTGACACCAGGACCCAGAAGTGACGTTTTACATGTTGCTTCCAGGTCACTTACAGAAAGGGGAGATCAGTGAACAGATTTTCGATGATCTCCTTCCCTTCTACCAGTGGCTCCCACCATGCAAGTCCCAGGTCAGCTGATGGGAGAGCGGAGCCTGGGAAGCATAGCAGGGCACATGGAGGGTGTGGAAGCGATGTGGAGGCTGCACAGCTATTGGATAATTTCCAGCTGACAGCCTGTCAGATTTACGCACCCTCAATGAGATGCCTCCTGTTCATTCTTATTTACACTTGTGTTTGAGGGACATTAAAAATGTGCACGTAGCCACACTTTTACCGTCCCCCACCCACTTCCCATTATACTTCAAAGGCACTGCCACTGTAGTAAGGCAGCAGGGGGTTTTACACAGCTACACAACACCCCACCACTATTGCCATACTACGGTGGCAGTGCCTTTGCAGCATAATGGGGAGTGGATGGGGGACGGTAAAAGTGTGGCTCAGCTGCATATTTTATAATGCCCCTCAAACACAAGTGTAGATAAAAACTAACAGTAAGCATCTCAGTGTTTTTATGTGATCGTCATCATTATCATGATGATGATCACACAGTACAAAAGGTGCTGTATGTCTGTCTGTACACAGCTATATCCCCGTCTGTGCCTCAGAAAACAGAAATTGTGAGCTTGCCTGTGCATCGGGTTCACATTGCAGCCTGTGCCCTCGGCCACCTCTCTGTTGAATCACACTCCCGCCACCTGGCTACAGCCTCGCCTTCAGCCCTCTGCAGGGATAATCACTCCACCAGTGAAAGAATCACTCTGCCAGTGAAAGACTTTAGCCGCCTATGGCCGAAATTGAGAAAAGAGTCCCTCTCTGCTTCTCGCCTCCTGGGCCCTTCTGGTGAACTGATGGGGCCCAGGGAAAATATAATTAATGTTACAGCAGGGCTGGCTGTACTGCCCTATATGGCCCTGGTTGTGGATGTGCCCTTGGCATCAGTACACCCTAGGCGGATGCCTAGTTTGCCTAGTGGTAGTGCTGGCCCGGAAGCCTAAAGTAAAGACTAGCGTATTTATAGTTAGTATGGTGATTATATTGCAGTGTGTTTAAACCTAATATTTTGTAGGTAACTTTAATTATTGAAACTAACATAGAGATTTGAAGATTAGCAACCACAGGGGGTTGGTATTTGGCTCGGCTTAGTTCACCTTCAAGGTTTTCCAAAATTCCACCTATGCAAGCGTCAGGACAGAAGGGAATGAGGCTTCAGTGATTTTTTTGGAGAGGCCCCCCCAACAACTGCATCTGTAATGGGAGGATGTGTAACATTTACATCAGATGGAACACTGGTATATACTATTCACAGGATATGGAATTGCATAGGAATATTTTTTAGGAAAATCTTGCTGAAGGTGGACTTACACTTTAAATGACAACTTTACTTTTGGAGAAGTTATCCTTTAAAGCAGGGCTCTCCAAACTTTTCGGTATGAGGGTCACATCGCATATACAAAGTCCACCTTACATCGGAGTTCATCTTACATCAGAGTCCCCCCTTATATGAGAGCCCCTACCAGAGTCCCTCCTTACATCAGAGTCCCCAACAAAGTCCCCTCTTACTTTAGAGGGCCTGATAAAAACTTGTAATGGGCTGGATTTGGCCTGTGGGCCACAGTTTGGAGACCCCTGCTTTGAAGTGGACATCATCTGACCAGGGGAGGACTGACAATTTGGAAACTCGGGCACTGCCCAAGGGCCCGGGGTCAGTAGGGGGCCCCCGGTTCCTTTTTCAAAGGCTTTTTTGAGTTTGGGCAAGGACACAGGGGCCCCATGATCCCCTATTGCCCAGGGGCCCCATGAGTTGTCAATCCGCCCCTGCATCTGACTGTGCAAACAACATTCAGGGTTGGTGATAAATTGAACTAAATTGCAATTGCTCCCCAATGGTCTGTCCATCCTTAAAAAATCAGGCAGGGTATGAATTAGTCTGATCAACCAGTGTTGAGTTTCTAGAGATCACATTAAGTATGACATTGGAGATGAATATCCAAGATAATAATAGAAATTACTAGGACTTTCTAAAATTTGGAGGGAAAATTTGGAGTCTGGTTGAAAATAACTAAAGTGGACCTGGACTCCAAATGTGAAAATTTGTTATATTAACCACTTGCCCTGCAGAAGATTTACCTCCTTCATGACCAGGCCATTTTTTCCTAAGTAGTGCTGCACTACTTTAACTGACAATTGCTCGGTCATGCAATGCTATACCCAAACAAAATTTCTATCTTTTCTTTCACACAAATAGAACTTTCTTTTGGTGGTATTTGATCATCACTGCATTTTTTAATGTTTTATTATATGAAACTAAACAATACATTTATACTGCGCTCTGTGCTAAATGTGATTATTAAAATGTCAAAAATCAAATTCCACCGCTGCACTCTAAAACATAAAATACAAATGTGCAATACGTGATATACAAAAATAGTTGCGCTGTATTAAAACAAATAAATAAATGAAGTCCAAATGTAAATAGAGATCCCACAGAAGTGCTGTGTGAATCCTTAGTAAAGACAAAGTCCTTATACAGTATGCTATCAGAATGAATTAGTGAAATATTGTAATGCCCATCAATTGAATAGTGAGATCCAACGATGTGCACCAGTGAGCCCACCACCTCACAGCACACACAGCCTCTTAGCAAATTATTAGACCCCAAATTATAGGAGGTTCAACAAAGTGTGAAGCTGCATGGATCTTGTACCATGGATCTTCCAACATAGGAATGTGACCTTCTAGCATAGCAGTCTCGCAGGACATCCAAGGATGTCCAATCCCGATATCCCCGGTTACATTTGGACTTTAATTATTTATTTGTTTTAATACAGCACAACTATTTTTTTAATATATAAAAGAAAAAAGACTGACACTTTTGCAAAAAAAATATATTTTTTTACTTTCTGCTATAACATATATCCCATAAAAGTCAAATCTCTTAATAGATTTTGGGTGAAATGTATTCTGCTACATGTCTTTGGTAAAAGAAGAATCCCAATACATGTGTATTGAATGGTTTGTAGAAAGTTGTAGTGTCTACAAACTATGGGATATATAGTATACTGCATGTTTTATTTATTTATTTTTTTATACTAGTAATGGTGACAATCAATGACTTATATTGGGACTGTGATAGTGTGGTGGGCAATCTGACACTAACTGACACTTTGTGGGAACTAGCGATTAAGGGGTAAATATGTGCCTAATAAGTGTTTCTGTCTGTACGGTGTGCTGCTTTTACTAGGGATCTAGTTGTTTCTATTCCCTGCTTAGCAGCTAATTAAAACAACTAGATTCCCTGTCACTGAGCACAGCTCAGACACAGTGCCGATCACACAGGTGCTGGTGGTAAATCACTGGCCGGGACCCAGTGATCCGCATATACTGTGACAAATCACAATACAGCCAGGGGGGCATGCACCCCCTACCCAGTAAAATGCAGAATCACATATTTATAAGTAGCAGTAAAGTTTCATGAGCCGTTCATCAAGCAAAGAGAACATTAGAAATGTTAACTATGAATAAGCAGTATCTTTTGGCTGGAATTCCTCCAGAAAAATAGCAATGCATTCCATGTGCATGTGAAGGTGCCTAGGCACTCCTGCACTTACAGCCTCATAGGTATACTATATATTATATATATACAGTGCTAGTTTCAGGAAATTTGGAGTGAGATTGAGTGGTGATGTCATTGATGTACAACAGTATTAGCATTACAGTATGGGCATTACACTGTTCTCCTTGCTGGAGGCTCTGACATGAGGAAGGAAAGCCCTGCCTATAGAAAGGAGAACAAGGCATGGCAAGACGGTAATGGGTAGTGATGGGCCAAACACCCCCCTGTTCGGTTCCTTGTCGAACATTTGAACCTAACGAAAGTTGGACCGCAAACGCCGAACAGGGTCAATTCACAGCTACTACAATACCGTATGAGTTATTATTAAGTCATGCAGTATTTTAGTAGTGAAAACATTTTTAATGTTTCAGCTGTCAGCGGGCTTCCCGCTGACAGCTGAATGTAAAAAGAATTGCAGGCATTGCCTGGCAATTAATAAAAAAGCGTGGGGTCCCCCCCATCCAAACCACCCCAAAATGTTTAAAAAATGCCATGGGGGTCCTCCCCGAAATCCATACCAGACCCTTATCCGAGCATGTAGGCCGGCAGGTCAGGAAAGGGAGGGACGAGCGAGTGCCCCTCCCTCCTGAACCATACCAGGCCACATGCCCTCAACATGGGGGGGTGCTTTGGGGCAGGGCCCCCAGATCCCACCCCCCCATGTGAATAAGTACGGGGTACATGGTACGGGTACTCATTCACAAAAAAAATGTATAGTGTAAAAAATGACATAAGACAGTCTTTGACAAGTCCTTTATTAAAAACAAAAATAAAAAAAGTCCCCCCTGAAGTAGATTCAATGTCAATCACGATGCCCACCGCTACCACCTACCCAGAAAAAGGAAAGAAAAAACCCACTACACTTTCAACGCTGGCTCATGCTGTCTGACAGCTGCTCTACGATAACAGTTCTTAAATACTGTGATGATGTCACAAGGGGACAGGGTGACCCCACCCCCTTGTGACATCATCATGTGCTGTGATTGTCCAGAGCATTGCACTTGACCTGTGGTCAAGTGCATTGCTTCGGCCAATCACAATACACTGTCAGGGCGCACCTTACCGTTAGTCTGTTCACCAAACACATGAATGGCCGATGTTCGACTTGAACATAAAGCCCAACACTAGTAATGAGGAAAGACCAACTGCAAGGAGACCACAGGCAATACTGATGACTGGTCCTTTGCCCTCTGCCTGATTTTACTTGACCAGCTTCTAGAGCTCAGTTCATATTCTACAGAATCTATTTAGCAAAGTTCTATTCAATGGTCCATGTTACTTTATTCAACAATTTATATTGCCCAAAAATGGTTCAGCGATTGACATATCTTAATTCAGCTGATTGAACAAAAAGCCTAAAATATATAGTTAATCTTGGAGCAAATTATATTTTTATAAGTAAATGTGTAGTTTCCTTATGTTATTTAATTTTCAACAGCCCAAAAGAGTCATGTCAGTGAATATTTGACACTCTATTGGTCAGTTCCCCAATAGTACGACATGTTGTGCTAACTGCTGGTTGACTTTTTTCTAGACTGGAACCAGACTAACTATGGCCTGCCCTCACCATATAAGAGGAATGAGTCAAACATGATTCTTCCTCTGGTATTGCAGTACCTCTGCCCGACGTATGTGTCAGTGGCGGGTTTGGGAGCCATTGCAGCAGCTGTGATGTCCTCTGCAGACTCCTCTCTCCTGTCTGCCAGCTCCATGTTTGCCTACAACATCTACAAGAAGATGCTAAGGAAGACGGTGAGATGAATTCTGAACTTCTTAAAAAATGACTTATTGATATAGCAACACAATCACCCTACAAATGTAGAACACATCAAGCAACCTAGTAGACTCTATGGGATTGATTTACTAAAGGCAAATAGACTGTGCACTTTGTAAGTGCAGGTGTACTCATTTTCCTCAGAGTTCAGTAAATGGGGTAAAGCTCTGCTTATTGCCATCACTCAATCATGTGCAAGCAAAAATGCCTTTTTTTATTTTCCTTTCACCTGATTGATTATTCTTTACCAAGTAAAGCTTTACAATATCATATTTACTATGGAAAATGAGGGCAACTGCACTTGTAGAGTGCACACAGTCTGCTTTTAGTACATCAAATCCCTTTGTGTTTTATAGAAAATGTTATATGCATTTTATACATTCCCTGCTGAGAAAGTATAACACAGAAGGTTATGGTGAAGAGGGACCAAAGGAACCAAAAAGCACTCAACTGAACCAGTGTGTAGCACATGAAGCCTTACTAAAACAGAAGGTATTTCCATGTTTCATTCCATCACATATTCATAAAGCAAGAGGATTATTCCTCCTTTTAGGACAATGGTTTAAGCCATGCAAACCTTTACTTTCCACGCTTTTCTTTTTTTCACCAACCCTGCACCATGGAAGCCATTATTTCGATGCACTGCTTTGATGATGGCCAACAAACCTGAAACAGCTGTATGTTGTTGCATGGACATTCTAGCAATTAACAGTTGCTGTGCCTTTATAAACTACATTAAGAAGCTGGGCTAGTGGGTTAGCAGTGTTGTTATCTGGGCACTTCTGCCTTGCCTTTTCACCTGATACATTAGAGTTTTATTGTTAGGAGTTCCCAGGGGCAGACTGACAACCCATGGGGCCCCCCGGACAATAGGGGATCATGGGGCCCCTGTGTCCTTGCTCACACTCAAAACACACCCAAAAAAGCCTATAAAAAGGTACCAGGGGCATTTCATGGGGCCCCCTACTGACCCCGGGCCCTCGGGCATTGCCGAGTGCTTGAATGGTCAGTCCGCCCCTGGGAGCTCCATGCTGGTAGTTTGCATCACACAGCTCCTGGTGCTTAGAGTGCTTTATCATGAGGCCCTCTTCAACTAACCATAACACCAACCCTCCCTGTAACCCTAATAGTAACCGTTCCTCATAATGTAACAAAATGGTGGCCGTCTGCACACAGGCACGACTCCCTGTTGCGTAAATGTGAATGAAATGAGTTAAAATGGCTTCAGCTCATGTTCTCCACCTGTAGAGAACACCTCAGACACATTTCACACTTTTCAGGGCTTAATCGTAACCCTAACCCTAAGGCTTTCCTCATACATAATCCTTGTTTAACCCTAACACCAGCCCTCCCTGTAACCCTAATAGTAGCTATTCCTCATTATAACCATAACACTAATCCTCCCTCAAACTACCCCAACACTAACCCTCCCTGTAACCCTAACACTAACCATCCCTGTAACCCTAACACTAACCATCCCTCAAACCAACCTATAAACCAAATCTTCTTGCAACCCTAACACTAACCCTCTCTGTAACTCTAACACTAACCATCCCTCAAACCAACCTATAAACCAACCCTTCTTGCAAGCCTAACACTAACCCTCCCTATAACCCTAACACTAACCATCCCTCAAACCAACCTATAAACCAACTCTTCTTGCAACCCTAACACTAACCCTCTCTGTAACTCTAACACTAACCATCCCTCAAACCAACCTATAAACCAACCCTTCTTGCAACCCTAACACTAACCCTCCCTGTAAGCCTAACACTAACCATCCCTCAAACCAACCTATAAATCAACCCTTCTTGCAACCCTAACACTAACCCTCCCTGTAACCCTAACACTAACCATCCCTCAAACCAACCTATAAACCAACCCTTCTTGCAAGCCTAACACTAACCCTCCCCGTAACCCCAACACTAACCATCCCTCAAACCAACCTATAAACCAACCCTTCTTGAAACCCTAACACTAACCCTCCCCGTAACCCTAACACTTACCATCCCTCAAACCAACCTATAAACCAACTCTTCTTGCAACCCTAACACTAACCCTCCCTGTAACCCTAACACTAACCATCCCTCAAACCAACCTATAAACCAACCCTTCTTGCAACCCTAACACTAACCCTCCCTGTAAGCCTAACACTAACCATCCCTCAAACCAACCTATAAATCAACCCTTCTTGCAACCCTAACACTAACCCTCCCCGTAACCCTAACACTAACCATCCCTCAAACCAACCTATAAACCAACCCTTCTTGCAACCCTAACACTAACCCTCCCTGTAACCCTAACACTAACCCTCCCTGTAACCCTAACACTAACCATCCCTCAAACCAACCTATAAACCAAAACTTCTTGCAACCTTAACACTAACCCTCCGTGTAACCCTAACACTAACCATCATTCAAACCAACCTATAAACCAACCCTTCTTGCAACACTAACTCCCTTTAATCATAACACCATCCTTCTCTTTAATCGTAACACTAACCATTGCACTGAGCTTTCTGTAACACTAAGAGGCTAAATTATAATGGGGCAGGGAAATTAGACATCGCAGTAATGTGTAACACTCTACCCTTCGTCATAAAATGCCTTACTTCACGATGAATCCACTGTTCCAAGTTATTTCATATAATGGACTAAGCAGTGGTACCCCCAAATGGATACTAATGAACATGGAATGGGATTGCAAGCCCAGGCTTATAGACACTGATTGATGTATACCAATATACCCTAATGGATGAACATGAATATTATTGGAAACAAACAAATTTATGACCATGCTCCTCATTTCCTTTGCTCTATTTTCCTAGGCCTCTGATCGAGAAGTTCTGTGCGTCATGCGTCTTTCCATGATCTTGCTGGGCTCAGCAGGTACAGGCTTGGCGTTCCTCTCAAACTCTGTGTATGACCTTTGGTTCCTGAGTGGAGAACTGGTGTACGCCCTTTTGTTCCCTCAGCTTTGCTGTGCCCTGTTCCTCCCCAGCACAAACACGTATGGATCTGTGGCTGGATTCTTCTTGGGATTTGTTCTCCGACTTCTGGGAGGAGAAAATTCCCTTAAAATTCCTCCAGTGCTCCACTACCCAGGATGCATTTTTGCAGAAGGTGTCTACATACAGTTATTTCCCTTCAAGACGTTTACCATGCTGGTCAGCCTGATCACCATCATCGTCACATCTTATCTGGCACAGTTTTTGTTCATGAAGAAAATACTTCCAATTCGATGGGACATATGCAATGTGTTTCACAAACAGCTGTCTCATCCAGCTCCACATGAACTGGAAGAGCGAGAGACTCTCCATAACACCTGAGTCCAGGACCAAAAACCTTTCAATGACTTTACCAACTTTTTTTTTCCAAAAAAAAATACTTTATGCAATAATATTACTGCTATGTAAATACATTCACAGTGATAATCAGCGCTATTAAGCAATATGATGCTATGCCTTAAACATTTACACTTGTCTTTACAATGTAATAAGATGTTTTAGTTACTGTATATGTATCATGTCTCGTCCCAATGTTACAGTACACTAAATCTAAAGGGATATTGGTTGTTTTTTTTTTTAAGAAAATTTATTAATTCATTAAAATAATAATGTTATTTTATTTGTATTACGTAAATGGGAAACAATCATTTTATACCAAATGTCTCTTTTACTTATATATGCATGCTGTGCTCTCTATAAAGAATTGTAGATACTTTAATATCCAGGGTAACACATCCTAGATCAATTGTACATAGGAACGTACATAGGAACATACACTGATCAGCCATAACTTTGTGACCACTTACAGGTAAAGTGAATAACATTGATTATCTCATGACAATGGCACCTGAAAGTTGGTGGGATATATTAGGCAGCAAGTGAACATGTTGTCCCTGAAGTTGATGTGTTGAAAGCAGAAAAAATAGGCAAGCATAGAGATTTGAGTGGCTTTCGCAGGGGGCCAAATTGTAATGGCTAGATGACTGGGTCAGAATAACTCTGTAATAGTCAGGACCCACCAAAAGTGGCCAAAGGAAAGAAAACAGGTGAATCGGTCATGGGCAGTAAAGGCTCATTGCTGCATATGGGGAGCAAAGGCTGGACTGTGTAGTCTGATACAATAGAAGAGCTACTGTAGCCTAAAATGCTGAAAAGGTTAATGCTGGTTCAGAATGGTGTCAGAACACACAGTGCCAGGGGCGGACTGACCATTTGGAAACGCGGGCATTGCCCAAGGGCCCGGGGTCAGTAGGGGGCCCCATGACATGCCCCTGGTACCTTTTTCATAGGCTTTTTTGAGTTTGGGCAAGGACACAGGGGCCCCATGATCCCCTATTGCCCGGGGGCACCATGAGTTGTCAGTCCGCCCCTGCACAGTGCATTACAGTTTGTTGTTTGCCTATGCTGACCCATGTCCACAGCCTACAATGGGCATGTGAGACATCATAGCTGGACCATGGAACAATGGAACAAGGTAGCATGGTCTGATGGCACCAGATGTGCTATGAGAAGAGAGCAAGCCGGTGGAGGCAGGGATCTGCTACTGACGGCTTGGTGCCAAATACCACAACATACCTTCAAAGGTCTAGTCAATGCCTCAATGGGACGTGGTGGTATTGATGGCAAAAGGAGGACTTACTCAATATTAGGTAGGTGGTCATAATGTTATTGCACATCAGTGTATAGTAAAACATAACTGGTACGTATACTTTTTAGGTCTCCATACGACACATATTTTGGTAATATAGGAAAAGTAATATTTTATTAAAAACATATTAAAAATGAATATTACATATCGTATACAGTGATACTATTTGCCTCAACATATTCATATGCCTCCATCTGCCACATTATTAACTATCTAAGCATACATTTGTATCATGAGGTCAAACATTTCTTTTCAGCTGAACAATGAGCCTTCTTTAGCAAAATGACATGTAGTTTGATATAATCCTAAATGTACTAAGAGTGATACAAATATATGCTTAGTAGGGTAATATTGTGGCAGGTGGGGGGCATGTGAATATGTTTAGTCAAAATGGTGCCACTGTACAAGATGTGTGATATTAATAATTTTAATGTTACTTTTCACATATTTTCACAATATGTGTCATGTGTATACCTGAAAGATCCGCCATTTTTTTTTTGGTATATGTCCCTATATTCAGTCTTAACAGACAGCACAGCATCACCTGTACCGTCAGCAGTCATAAGCCGATTTGGCTCAAATCCACTAAAGTGCCACCTGGCTTGTCCAATCCAAAAGGGAGCTTGAAGACAAAGGCCCTAAGCTTTCCCTCCTCTACTGGAACCTCTCCCTGCCACTAGTGCTGTTCCTGACAGATGAGTGAGCTGTCCTTACACTAGCCACTTTGTAACTGCATGCCAGGGAAGCATGGACTTCAAAAAGAATCTGTGATCCAAGATGGCCACCAGGGTCACTTCGATGCAGCGTAGCCAACAACCAACCGGAATGCTGCCCCAGGGGACTGAAGGAATCATAGAGAAACCCAGTTTCTTCTGACTTTCTTCTCTAGCTACATTGCTGTTCTGCATGAGTGCCATCTTCAGTGGAGAATGTAGACTGCCCTGCCTACATGCATGCATTGAAAAAGTACATGCAGTACTTTGTCCAATCTTTCTACATGTTAAGTAAGTCTAGGAATCAAGTTGGACAGGACAACCCTTACCCTGCCCTTAACAACTGTCTGAGAACACAGCTAGCAAGGAGACAGTTGCATTAATAGCTAGCACTTGTCTCCAGCTCCGAGAACTTCAGCTGGACAAGTGCTGCCAACAGGAATGCAGAGGGATGGGAGGCTAAGACGGCCCCCCTCCCTGCATTCCTCTTTCTGCCTCTTGTCTCAGGAGAAGAGTTAGTTATCAATGAAGCTTTCTCCTTGCTAGCTGTGTTGTGGGAATGGGGGAGGGGTTTTGTACAACCATGTAATTTGCCTTCTGCAGCATGTAGGCAGATGGGACTAAGTACTACACATCCTGGGGACAGAACAATGTAATAAAAAAAGAAATTAGACTTCTTCTTTCAGAGACTCTGTCACTTTGCCCAGTTAGGGTAAAGTCACAAAGTCTCTTGAAAGCTCAACCCATATTTCATGCTCTCCCAACATTCTTTTCCTCTATTGTAGCCTTCACAAAATATTGGTGCTTCTGAGTATTGGGGGACATGTAAATTCCTCCTTGGAGGCAGTAATCGGACCTGAGCAGCCAATCACCAGCCTGAACATTGTCACATGAGGAAAAGATGTCATCTACCCATTGTAAGCTAGACATTGGAGCAATCATGTGGATAACGGAATGGCGATGTGAAGTATAAAGGCGGCCATAGACGGTTCTAATCTTGGCCTGTTCAGCAGGGACCGGCAGAGATTAGAACCATGCGTGGGCAGGCTGAATGTACCCAAGTCGACTGATCAACCAGCGTGTCAGATTTTGTCATCAGATAAATAAAAATGCTTCTATTGCTGATCTATTAAAAATGCTGTTTGTTTGCCTGTCTCAAGCTGGCCCTAGATGGGAAGGATTTTAAACAAAAATTCTTGCGAAAAGAAGTTATAAGAAAATACATTTTTTTTCTAATCATTGATGTGGTCAAACCGGCATTCCCTTTTAACTGCAGTGACTGGAAAATTCAAAGGAGCAGGATGGAAACTTTTTGTGGAACAAACGAATTTCTAACAGTGTATGTGGTTTTCATTCAGTAAAGTCCATTCATTCCAAAACCAAATGTTAAAAGCAAATAAAATCTTTTGAATGTCAAACGAATGTTCTGAGAATTATTGCATGATTTATCCTAAGACTTTTCCTAAGAATTTTCATTCAAAGGCCACAATTAGGATCCACTATTCAGAGTCACAGACCTGCAAGGTCCATGCAGTAATGAACTCAGAACTTCTGATCCACATTCTTGTTCTGGATGTCAGAAAACTCTGCAGTCAGAAGATCTGTAAAATAGCAAGCCAAGCAATCTGATTTCATATAAAATCAGCAATGGCAACCACCATATTTTTGTTATGGCAGATTTTCTTTAACGCAATCACATATGTGAACAGAGGAAAAGAGATCCATGATCAGCCTCCCAAGCATAGAAATGAAGCTTCCAACACCACCAAGACTTAGATTCAGTTTTCTTTTATTTACCAGACATCAGAAACATCTATAGACATTTTTTAAACTAACAGTTGTTTGTGAAATAAATAGGGCGACTGATTATAAAAACACACCCCAGGATACCAATAAATGAAAAATATAAGCACAGGTATGATCAGATGATATGCTAATAAATACAACCCATATATACTCGTGGAGGGACATTTATAAAGTAGCAGCATGGTCATACCACTGATTTAAAAAAAAAAATTTATAAAGCCCAGCAATATTCTATACATATGTGCTTGGCTCTCTGCTGGCTTCGGACAACAAAGCCAGAGTGCTATTCTTATGAATAAAAGAGCAGAAGAAAAAGAAACCATTAGGTGGGCCTGGTAACGTGACCTTGGAAAGTGATGTGACCTGACTTTCCGACAATCAGAGTTGTGCTTTGAGCAGAGAGAACTCTGTACCACACTGCAGGTGCCAAATCGTGACCTGCGTTTTATGACTCAGCTGTAAAACGCAGTGATGGCTAACATTGCATTATATATCTGTTTACCATTATGAAAGAATATTAGAGATAATATGACTTTTTTATATAAAAAATGACAAAGCTTTACACCTATGGCAGCACAGATGGTCTTCTCATGATATAATGGTGTTTGCACAACTCCTGTGTCCAACACAGACACTGCCAAGTCAATTAAGAAACTGACAATTTCTCATCTTCTACACTATGTTGCCAAAAGCAGGAAACTCGGGCACTGCCCAAGGGCCCGGGGTCAGTAGGGGGCCCCATGAGATGCCCCTGGTACCTTTTTCATAGGCTTTTTTGAGTTTGAGCAAGGACACAGGGGCCCCATGATACCCTATTGCCCAGGGGCCCCATGAGTTGTCAGTCCGCCCCTGGCCAAAAGTATTGGGACGCTTGCCTTTTCATGCACGTGAACTTTAATGGCATCTCAGTCTTAGTCCGTAGGGTTCAAAATTGAATTGGCCCCGCCCTTTGCAGCTATAACAGCTTCAACTCTTCTGGGAAGGCTGTCCACAAGGCTTAGGAGGGTGCCTATGGAAATGTTTGACCATTCTACCAGAAGCGCATTTGTGAGGTCAGGCACTGATGTCGGACAAGAAGACCTGCCTCACAGTCTCCACTCTAATTCATCCCAAAGGTGTTCTGTTAGGTTGAGGTCAGGACTCTGTGCAGGCCA